GCGTGCGTGCGTGTGTGCGTGCGTGCGTACATATGTAATATAAATTAATAATAGAAAACAAATCAATTACTACAAGATAAATAAGGCTTTGTTTTATTTTACTGTTAGAAAATACAAAACTTCCCGTATCTATGTATCGTCGTAAAACGTACATACCACGTGTACATACCACCCGCGTGAATAAAATGCTGAAGTACATGGTCTCTCATTTTGTCAAATCGAGTGCGAAAGAAATAATAAGAAGTCTATAGGCAATATAAATTGGAGATCAAATAGCATAATAACAAAAGAGTTAAAGTAAAAAGAAAAAAAAGATGAAAGTGTGACGGATAGAAATTTGCACAACAGTGAGAGAAGGACGGAAGAAAATTAATAGGAAAAGAGAGTAAAAATAAAAAAGAAGAATAGAGTAAGAGAAGAGTTGATACTGATGAAAATAGAGGTTGACAAGATTGGGATGAAGAGAGAGGACTGAAGGAGATTGGAACTGAAAGTGACAAAAAGGGAGGGAGAGAAATAAAAAAAGAGTGAGGGAATGGTGAACGGAGCAAGCAATGGAAAGACATGACTAGATATCATATATAGAGAGAGGAAATCATGAGAGAGAGAGAGAGAGAGAGAGAGAGAGAGAGAGAGAGAAAGAAGGAAGGAATGACAGTGAGAAGACGGAAGAAAATAGGACGGAAGAGCTCTTGGTGGGGTCAATAGTTGGCCGAATTGCTGAGAGTGCCGCGATTGTGTAACAAAGGAGTGAAACGTAACGAGAACGTCCCTCGGTGTTTGTTGATTTTTTCAAACGAGGCGAACTTAACTTCTCTTTCGCATGCATGATAACTCGATTACTATCAAATATAATTAAATAAATACATATAAGTACACGAATTTTGAAAAAAGCTAATCTTTGTATAAAAATAAACTTCTAGATTTGAAATAGCGAGTCATTTAGCATCTCAGACATCAGGTTATCTATTTAGCAAACAAAAATATGCATATAATAGGCAATTGTGATAATCTCGTAGATACACTCTTAATAAGACTGCTTCATGATATTACTCAGTTATGACATCAATTATCATTCAATAGCATATACATAATTGTCGCGTGATTCTGAGAAAGTGAGCAACACTTGATAAATCGTTATAATGAAAATTAAAATTATTAAATGAAAATTATTAAATTTAGTTTCTCTTTGCGATATTGATCGGATGGCTATAGTAGCTTAATCAATTTTAGGTTTTTGATTTTATACTTCAACTTTTATCGAAAATTACCGAGTCTATATTAATATTAAAGTTAAAATATCGTTATTAAAGGAAAATATCGAGTATTAAGTAATATTTGAAAATGTGCATTGTATGAGTCCACAAATTTTTCATAAATTATTGGCACAAATGACAAGTCGCGCGCGCGGCCGGCTGCACTTGACTTTCCTAAATGCAAAATAAATAGGTGCGGCTGGTTCCTATTAATAGCGGGCCGTTTACGTGACTTTACTATAAGCGGTCGAAGTGCACTCGCACTGTGTCAAGAATTTCTCGCGTCGCGTAAATTATCCATAATTGCGGTATCAGTTGCGAATGTAGATGCAATGAAAATTCATCGAATTTGAAAATGCGATTTTATTTTGCGTATCACCTAGAGATTTATTGAGTATCACCTAATAAATAATTACATGCATGCATGCATGCGTGCGCGCGTGCGTGCGTGCGATGTGTTCCAATTTTATAATATATATATTTTTTATTTCATAATAAATACTTTCATAACAAACAAGAGACAATGAGGTAAAACGAGTCATTAAACTTAAATGTTCTTTAAACATCCGTATAATCTCGTTGATATATAGATAAACTTATATTATTAAATGTCTAGAAATTTTTTAAATAAGCGCCGCGGATGTATCCATGCACAGGAAAGATGGTAGAGAAAAGAATCGAATAAAATCCAGTATAAGGGACATCGACCTTTAGGCACGTGTCCCATACCACATGTTACATTCGCTGAATTAAACACACACAGCCATAGTTTTTCTTGGTTTATCAACGATTTCACTGCTAGAAATTTAAGTGTTACAGCTATTGTTGGACATCTATGCTCTTAAAACCAACGAACAATTTATTTGAAAATAATAGTCTTTGATCAGAAAGCTGTTTAATATTACCGATACATATCGTGCGGTTTATTATTATTGTTATAAATCTTACTTCGCATCTAATAGTCTGCCCTGCATTTTGTTTGTCCTTGCTCCATTGATATGTACGAAGACGAGAACAGTGACGAGCCTAAAGTATTGATCAAACATATTCTCTAGTTTCATGTCTCTATATCTCTCGGGTCACAACACAATGCAAATGGAATTGCAGGTGAAATGCGTGGATTGTGAACTACAAAAATTTCCCTTATTTGCGTTTTGCAAATCTAAGATTTGATTTAAAGACACGTTATTAGAACATATCCGCATAAAACAATACATCGATCACTGAATTTCAATTGTTATCATATACGGTAGAATTTTCAATTTGTCTTGGTTTCCTTATTTACGGATTTGCACTTGTTCTTTTTCTTCTCTTTTCTCTCTTAATTTTTTTCCTTTTTGTCTGCTTTTTTGAATGCAATTGTTACACATTGTGTAATTAATCAGTCTATATGCAGCGTTTGTAGCATTATGTAGTGGATCGTATTAGCGTATTATTACATAGCACAATGTAATGCACAACAATTGCGAGCGATGACACAATAGTTTGTCTTTGTCAGTAAAGAAGCATTACGCTAAAATTGTTCTAAATCTATTAGTCGTTGGATGAGAGGAATAGCGATTAGATTTGAGATTAGTAATCAGCAGTTTTATATACGTATATATTATACTCAATACTGATCTATATGGCAATGGTCCCGAAATCGGTAGCAAAGCTTTCTTTGGATATAGGCTGGAATTTTATACATTTTACATTCCTAGGGAAATAATAGTGATTTTCATAGATCGGAAGTGGCATCAATTCAGTGCTATTTATATTATTATTAGAAGAAACATACTATAATGTTATAAGCATTTATCAATACATTTTACAAAATAGAGATTTATTGGAAAATTATACATTTAAGAATTTATTATTTATATATTGTCTGTAACTTCACTTTTTGTGAAAAGATGAGTTCTGAATAAAACAACGTTTTTATAAACTTTTATAGTAAAGAATTTTGTAGTGTTCATCGAGTGAAATTACAGTTCTTTTTTTTTATTTTTTAGATTTGTGCTTAAATGCAAATGCATAAATTGTCTATAGTATGTTTCAAGATTTTATTGGCTTCGTTAATGATGATTTGGTGTCTAAATACTCTCTTTTTGCTCTAACTCGCACTATCTTCCACTGAAACTAGATCACGTATCTTTTGGTAAATGTGTCAACCGCCCAGACGCGGGATCAATACTTATGCCCTGGTTTTACCTCCCCCATCATCCTTCCTCACCCTCGATCCACAGATCTGCGCCCTCTTATACCATCGTGTTATTTTCCTTCTCTTATAAAGTGGTGTATTTTAGAGCGGTTGCTCTTATCTTTTTTGTCTGGTGCTTATCGTTAAACGTTTGTTATTATTCGAGTGTTTGCAAGCAACTCGCGTTGGATATTTGCGGTAGAAGAAATCTGACGGTGAAGAGAAAGTTTCGGTAGAATCAGTGCTCACAAAACTATGTTATGATAGGAATGTGTATGATACAAGAAAGACATGTATATTTGAATACTTGTTGCAAATACTATTAAATATACACACACACACGCGCGCGCGTGTGTGTGGGGGGAGGGGGGTGAGGCACTAAATTTCTTGCACATTTTTCTTGGAACAATTTTACGCAAAACAGGAAAAATATGTATTACAAAATACATATTTTGATTAGAGTATTATTTTTTAAATTAGATTTCATATTAACTGTTCACTATTTTTTCATGTATTTGTATATTGAATAAAATTTTGCAGCTACATTTTTTCTTCTTTAACCTTCTGTCTAAAAAAATGGGACGTTTCTATCCACTGTAAATGCGAATGCATAATCAATTATATTTTATCATATGTTTAACGTTTTTCCAAAGAATGCATGCTCTTCTTCGTGGTGATTCAGAGAATATATAGTTGCTTTATCATAAAATTCTATGATTTGAGCACAATCGATATTTCCCGAGAAAACATCATGGATTAAATGCAAATATGTATGTAATCAATGCTGTGCAATTCGCGAGACTGCTAGCATGTTCTTAATATGTCTTGCGAATATTGAAATTGGTCGGTACCTTTTACAGTCATTCCAGCGGAACATTAAATATCTTGAAAGAAATAGCATAAATTCGCGAAAAGACGCTCGACTGCTTGTATGTGTGTGTTCGCGTGCTTGCGTACATAATTTCATAACCATCGTTATTTCGTAAAGTAAGACAAGCATGAGTTTTCACTTTACAGTGTTGCTGTGATTTTAAAGACGTTTCTTTGATAAGAGAGAATATCTCTTATACACATATATCTGCATATACATATGTATACATGTATACTTATAATAAATCATAAATTCTTATTTATTAAGAAAGAAATTATAGAGAGAGAGAGAGAGAGAGAGAGAGAGAGAGAGAGAGAGAGAGAGAGAGAGAAATCGACCCTATCGGGTCAACATAAGATTATAGCCCTGAATCGAGAGAGTTAACACAGCCTTAATACTGATTAATTCTTTTCCTATCTATATTATACTACATTGATAGACGTCAATCTATAAAATTCTAAAAAATATAAAGCATATTAGCATATTGATGTATTCAAAGAGAAAGCGGCCTAAATTATAATATAAATAGTGTGTATAAATAATATATTGTAGATATAATAAGTCGAAAGTAATTCGGATTATAGATGGAAATAAATATAATTGAAAGAAGTGAATTTTCAATAGTGAGGTCGGATCGATGAGAAACGCTTGACCCAATGACCCGGAACTGGGCATGTTATATAGTTTTACAAAGTGCGACCTGGATCGATGTTAGATGCACTAAAAATTTAACTAAAATGGAATTTCTCCTAGATATGCGGAGTACATTCATGTTTGCGTTAAAAAATTGTTCCTTTATTAGCTTTACTTATCACCGGAAGTCGTAATTACGATTATCGTTTAGATTACTGTTATATTGTGCATCACTTTTTACGAATGCATTTTAAGACTGTTATTTGATAGTTGGATTTTTCTTTAAACATTGATGCCTATTTATCTGCGTCAGTATCTGCGTACATGCAGCGTATGGCACTGTATGTTTGTACGTTTTTTAAATGATAACTGAGTTGTCGCACTTATATATTATTTCGTTCACTTTTACCGGCGAGTAAACGGAAGAACCTCAAAACAGGTCGATGACCTAGCTGATACACGACTTTCGATCTTACTCCATTTGATCAACCTAGCTCTGTCGATTTTAATCATTCAATCGCGTTTTCATTCGTTATGAGGCATAGAATAAATGCAATTTCATTATGAGCACTTTGATAATTCCTACAGAAATTATCTTATTCTGAGATTATTAAAAAAAAATTTAGACGTAAGAGAGTATCTTCATTTTCAAACAATCTCTAAAAATTATTTTAATTAAATTATTATGTATATACTTATGATTTTTATATACGTGGCTAAAAATAAAATTTTATTTTTTTATTTCCTTAAAAATCTCATTACAATGGTTTACAACCAGTCACAATTAAAATGCAAAACAAAAAAATGATTTTTTTACAAAAAGTTTTTGAAGATAAACTATATATGTATAAATAAATTAAATGAATATTTAAATGAAAGACAGCGATGATGAATATGTTTGAATTAGAGATAAGAGACGATTTTCTACCATGATACTGCTTCATATCTGAATAATTAATAATAATGTAAAATACTTTGTGATATACAAATATCATTGTATTTATTATATAATGATATTTACATATATATCACAAAGTATAAAGTTACTTCTGCAGTAAAGATATTTTTGATAAAAATTATCTATTGATAAATATTACGTTAAGTGATATATTTTGTATGCAGGATGACAATGGAAAGTTGAATAGTTCTTATTTTGTAACGAAAGTGGATAAAATAAAATTAATTGAACACAGTTTTGAAAAAGAAGCGTTATTTTTGTTAGCATATAAAGTGTGAAAGAATATACATTTATGAATTCTTTCTCAATTCTTTAATTCGTTTTATTTTATCCATTAATTACAAAATAATAGCTATTTAGTTTCAGCAGGTTTTCGATTGTTGTTTCTGTATATAAAATATAATATGAAATAGTTCTTAATATTCAAGCAAGTGCATATTTCCACAAATTAATTTGTCGAGTGAGTATTACAGCATTATTCACGTAAAACGCGCGTGCCTTTTAGTTTGGAATGGCATAACTTTTGCCGACTAATTGGAAATTTAGTTAATTATGCATCGTTGTCGTATGTGTATTTCGTACAGGCCGATTTTCAGCATAAAAGACTGAATACCTACATAAATTGATTTTAGCCTATAGGTCGCCTAGGATATCGATCGAGCGTGTTTAGCATTTAAGTACGTACAAAATTTGTAGTACTAAATCGGCCATATTCTCGATGACTGATTCTTCGCTTACATAAGAGGCTCTTGAACGTTTACAGAAACGTAAGAGCGAAGCGGAGGTCGCGGAGCGATTGCTACATTTGAAAGTGACGGTGGCCTTTTCTACAGAACCGTCTTTCAATTCAAGAAATTCGTTTGTTACACCAATACAACTTATACGTTACGACTATAAGAAAGATCGTAAAAAGAGAAAAGGAGAATTTATTATTAGGAGAATAGGTGAAAGAGAATAGTACTTAACTTTTAATTAATCACTTTACTACGATGTGATAATTAGTCTCACATCAGATCAATTTAACTACATTTATTTGTGAATGAAGTATAAACAATATTAAAACTACAGAAACTCGAACGGAAAGAGTGAGTGTACTACATGGATAATTTAGTGCATCAAAATGATAAATTCGCAAAAAGAAAAGTATAATAATTAAAAGTAATAAAATTATATAACTCAATTATTAAAGATTATAATTTAATTCACTTCTCTCTCTCTCTCTCTCTCTCTCTCTCTCAGATTAGAAAATATATCATAATTCCGGTAAAAAGATTTAAATTACACAATGCTGTGCAACAACACGCGGTATACCTGTTTTCTCGTACATCGGCGATCTTTCGAAGGCGCTCACAATTCGTTCGAAAGTTTGGTGAGGGGATAGAGCTAGGCAAAAGGGGACTGGAAGAGAGAACCCAGGTCGACGACCTCCGCACGTGGAGCCGTTCAGAAGTAGGCCACACCGTGACATCATGCAAATGGCAAAATGGCCGCCACCGTCGAGAAACCGGCACATTTCGTAGAAACGCTCTATGCACGCGTCCGCTCAGTTCGGAATACCTAGGCCTGTGTTGACGCGCGCCGCGCGCGTTGCGTTTGCGCAGTTGCGCATGCGTTGCGCTTGTTTGGTCTAGCTGTTCGCAAAGCGAATGCGGAGTTAACTCGCCGAAACGGCCGAAACCTGGTGCGCGCATGTGGCGCGTCGCATTGCCGCGCACAATCCGCGATATCTAACATTCGTGAGTCTCGTTCAATATGGCGGCTCATGACGATTTACCGATTGACATCTTTATGCCTCTACATTTTATACAATCATTTTATAGCTTTTTGCGCAAAGCTAATGATAGAACAAGACAAATAAATGAGTTGGAATGACCTCGACCTAATTCTATTTACTTAATCAATAGTTACCTTTTCAAGTGATATCTGTACTAACTGTTTCGTTATAATGTAAAATTTATTAATTTTTATTCTTTGATACATAGAAAAGAAGAATAATTTAAAAATAACAAATTTTATATATATATATATCTCAAAATTTTATTGTATAAAATGTGATTCGAAATGTCGGTTGAATTAAAAAAAAAAAAATCAATTAAAATTGGAGATAATCAGGGTTTGATTGAAGTAATTCGCTTACTCGTTCCAAACCATTCATTATTGCACGTTCAGAAAATCGGCAAATCTATATACAAATTGCCAATTATTATGTTGATGGGAAGACAGTTGAATAAATAAAATTGTTTTTAAATTATTTACTCTTTTGTTCTCTATTGTTAAAAATTGCGTGTATATCTCACATGTTATGGATTAAAATTGTTTGTTTCACTTAGGTCCGGTTCCACAAATGTAAGATTAACTTTAATCTCGGTTTAACTTATTATTTATCTCTTTCTAATTCTTAGATTAGAAAAAGATAAAGCGAATTGAATTTCGGTTAAATCGAGTTAACCGCGAATTGTGAAACCGGACCTTAATTGCAAAGTATATAAACGAAAATCAAGTGTGTTTTGCTATTCATTCGATGTGCATATATAGTTATTCTTTGTAAATCCTTTTCGCAAAGCATGTAAGGACAATTCATGCGAATACTTGTATTGAATTAGCGAGTTGACTATATATACATGGTGTTCAGAAATTATCATATTTATTTATTTAATATCAGTACACCATGGGTTTTTCTTTAATTATTATAGAAATAAGACATCGATCATGTCGGAGTTATAACGGACTAAAAAACGATAGCATCTTGATGAATTATACTTCACATGTAGATATTGTTTTGCACAGGCGTATAATATGTGATATAAAATATATATGTGAAAGAATTTTCAAAATTAAATTGCCATGGAGAAAAAATCAATTTCAAATTCCAACTAATTGTAAAATAATTTTTTCGCGTATTATATTTATATCATTTTCAAAGCACCCTATATAGAGATGCGTGTGGTGTAAAAAAATCGCGAACACGTTCTTTATTCGGCGCGCGTGCATGCGGGAATGCATCGTCGCAGCTGTAGCTGAATCCCACGGGACACTGCAGTCGAATTCGACGAACATTATATTTCAGCAAGTTTCAGTGCATCACTAAAATACATGCACCATAATGTCTGCATTCTAATTATCATGATGCAATGTGCGTTTAATTCTTCATAATACATATATATATATATATATTTTTTTTTTTCAATATTGTGTGTGTGTGTGTGTGTGTGTGTGTGTGTGTGTGTGTGTGTGTGTGTGTGTGTGTGTGTGTGTGTGTGTGTGTGTGTGTGTACGCACGCGCGCAAGTAATGGCTATCTGCTTGATTAAATTGTTTATTGAGAATGAGTTTCACACACACATTTTTGCTAGATTACCTATTTTAATGATTAAAATGCATACAGTGATTTTCTTTCTTGCGTGCTAAATGTTATTTGATGAACCAAAGTGTTCTTCGTTAACAAAAAGAGATAAGCGAGCTATAACAGGTAGCGGAAGTATGTTGCTGTCGAAAGTGACTGTAATTACGCATAACGATAGTGCTTACGCAATGCATATTTAAGTTGACGTTGGCGGCGATAGCGGGAATTCAAAGGAAGTAGCTATAAAGCTGTTTTCTGTTATATGATTTTTCAGCACGAATGGCATTGAGATTGCATAATTTCTTTTATATTCCTTTACGTAAAGCAGGAATGCAGTAGTTTTATATTAAGTTATACAATCATTATAATAGTTTATTTACGTAAAATTAAATGAGGTATAATTAATTTTTATTATTTATATATTAAAACATTTTTTTATCCAAAATTTAATTTTCCCGTATATTATTTCATACATTGCAACATATATTATTAGGGGTTAACTAGTAATTATATATTTTTTACTGATTGTTACATGAAATTGTTACATTTATTTACTGACATTTATGTAATTTGCGAAAAGCTTGACAGTTCTTATTCAAACAATTTTTAAAAGATCTATTACTCCAAAATTTTATATAAATATTGAATATTGTAAAAATGATGTAAAAAATGATTTGTCTTTTGAAAATAGTCGATAAAAAAATTAATATTAATAACTGCTTTGCAATTTGTTCGTTTGGTGGTAGCACAAGTCAAGTTTAGAATAATTAAGGTGCAGATGCTGAACACAGGTCTCTTTTTACCGATTGAACGCGATTATTTTTGAATGAACCGATCCAGCCACCGAGATGTTATTAAAGACGGTCAACCAAAGGCAAATTTCGTGACTGCCAAATGGGCCCTATCGTTATGCATAATTACAGTCACTTTCGACAGCAACATAGTACTTCCGCTACCTGATGTTATAGCTCGCCTATCTCTTTTTATTAACAATTAGGAACACATTATATACCTATATGCTATGGCAAAATCACTAGTTGTAAAGTTAAGTGCAAACACAAAAAGTAAAAAAATTAGATAACATTCTATCACAAGAATCACACTTAATGAAAAAATCACCAATGTTTTGCTCTCTTTGCGGAGCGATATGATGGAGAAAAATTCTATTACTTGTAAAATCAAAAGTGCCTTTTGATTGTCCGCTTAATCTGTTTAGCGAAAGAATTTTGCAAAGATGGGACGATCCTACCAATTGAGGGCATTTGCCCTGCATGCAAGACTAATATCCTCTGGGAGATCTCATAAGAAAAAAGAATGGTTGAATCAAGATCTTGAAGAATAATTAATACTGATTTTTACAGTGATAATGACGACATATAATTACCGTATAAATAATATCTTATAATTATCTAAAATAAATACGAATTTTTTATCTTATACTTCAACTCAGCCATCAAAATTATAATGTACTTCTTATTATATTTCTCATTAATATTTCTGTATATTATATCATCGTTAAGGAACGACCAAATTATAATTACATATAAATATTAATTTTTATATTATATATATGTATATATGTTACGAGTGTATAATTATGTTATATATATTATATTTGTGATTCATTCTATCGAAGAGCAACGCCGCGGTTTTCGCAATTGATGACCAAGGGTACGTCAGTTTGATCAAAATATTTAAGGTAATATCTAACACCTATATAATGTCCGTGAAACGCGATGTCGGGAAATACGATTGTCACTGTCTCCGATTGTGCTATCATTATAATTAAATTTAAATATTTTTCGCCAAGTATTATTTCATGTTTTTTAAATCATGACACATCATGACTCGATAAGAAAAAGAATTGGATGTTGCAATCATGTTTTCACATTTTGTCATTTGTGCGTCTACTTTAATTTCGTAATCGATTCAGACGTAAAGTATTCCTAACATTCCGAAAAGATAGTTTGACATTGGAATAAAATTTGCGAAACGAATCAACGCGACAGAAATGAATTCTCGATGCAAAGAGAATATAGTGTGATATAGTGGCGTCATAACCTCTATTAGCTTGCGAAACAAATCGACAGGGCAAACATTCTAGTGCTGCCCATCTGTTGCAGTTTCTGATAATTACCAACTGCTTCGTCGATAATAACGGAATGAAGATGAGCACTTACCAGCTGAACTTCCGCAGCGACGAGATCCTGCGTCGATGGCCTCCCGAGTGTCCCAGCACTCCCATCAACGGCCAGCGTCGCTCCAATCGTCTACCTCCATCACTTGCTGCTCCATATGCTTCCATCGCGTTGACGATAATCCAAAGATCCGCATCGACGTAATCCAATTACGGGCGCACAACACTTGATACACGAATGCACTGTATATCACATTATTAGGCTTTATTATACACTGCCTTATGCACTTGACACTGTATGCTGCACAAGCTACTGCATCACACACATCGGCATTTACGGCGACGATGCCGACGACTCGCGCGCGCGCGAGATGCACTCTCGGAGAAATATACGGATCGTTCGAGCCGGAGTTACGGAGAGTTATTTGCCCGATCGGATGGGTATGACGAGACGCACGTACGACACACTTCGATCCGTGGCATTTCCGACCGACGCGACGAAGGCGATCATCGCCGTGCGGCATTTGATCGCGACTCGAAAGCGCCACTGCGTGCAGCACTCTCAGGGTACGCGGGTGGCGTGGGGTCGCGTAATTATTAGGGATCAGGCCCGGCCGGCCTCAACCGATTGCGATGAGAAATGCAAGTAATGCAACTGCGGTTAATGGCGGTTAACGCGCCACGCGATTAATAATGTCTAACGGTCGCCAAATGGCAGATTAACGACGATCGCGATTTCTTAATCCGCGATGCTTCGTTTGATGATCCCGAGACGACAATCAACTCGCGATGCTGATTCTCGACGTGAAACGCAACGAATTCGCGACGCCCGCCGCGTGGGTACGCGCGTCGATTAATAGCCCGACGATCGTTACGTTCACCGGCGAGACTTCGCGTCGCGACTCGCCTCTCGACAGTTGACTCGACGATCGCCCGAGAGCCACGCGAACGAGCTCGCGAACGTGTCATGTTACTCTCGGCACTCCCGACAACAACTCGCGCGCGAGGCTCGCCTTTGGCGAGCCGAAATTGCCGAAAATACGAAACGATTTGACTCCCGAAATTCAAAGCGTTGCGTCGCGTCGCGCTGCGTTTCGTTGACTGGGTTTGAAACGCTTGCGATTCTCGAAACGGGGCGCCGCGCGGCCAATCAGAGCGGCCGATTAATATTGCGATTCTCGAAGTATCGCGATCAAGTACTCTCCTTTTCAAAAATCATAGAGAATGAGAAATACGCAATGGCTAGGCGTATGATACTTGGACATTTGGACAAAATCCGAAATAACGATCAGATAATTGATGATGAAATTGACTATATCACATTCGGATTTTTATGTTAATAGGAAATTCTTGAAAGAATTAGGCATTTTTAGAGTAATCTAGAGCATTTCCAGTACGCTTTGGGAAAATCGATAAGATATTTTCGTTGGTTCAACGATCTTATATATATATGTTATGAGCTCTGTTATACATTATCATGTGCTCTCGGCCTTATATATAATTACTTTCAAAGTGAATTATATATAAAAGCGATTTTCAATAAAATAACAATTCAAAGGCTTATTTTAATATAGAAATAATCGCAGATTTTTTAAGAATTATTATTAGCTATAGTGCGTGAGGTATTATTAAAGACGGTCGATTAAAGGCAAATTTTTATGACTGTCAAGTGGGCCCGGGAATAATTGAAAAATGCTGACATTACCGCAATGATTTTGTATTACCTACAAAATCGTTGGTAATGTCAGCGTTCTTCAATTTATAACTCTGGGTCCACTAATCCACGAAAATTTGCCTTTGATTGGCCGCTTTTAATAATACCTCGTCGTGGTGCTAAACCTACTACGGTGGATGGAAAGCGTCCTAAGTAGCAGTCGAATGTGATTGGTTCTTCTAGGTTTAAATTCGATTGCTTACCATATGAACATGTAAATGCGGCTTAATTCGACTTTATACCTTACTGTGGCGCTGCTGATAATGGAGTGGAGCTCCGAGCTGTGGAGCCTCCTGTCTCAGACTCCACTCAGTCGTCGGTCAAGGTGTTCGCCATTTTGCGTTGAGTGTGAGAGGATGCCGTCAATCTCTCGTTTATTTTACTTATTTAGTGAATGAATATTGGTATACAATCGTGGTAACTTGCGAAATTTCGCCATAATGACGCAGTTTTTGCCGCCGAATTTGCTGGCGTTGTTTTCGCCGCGCGAGCCGATCCCGTATTTGCCACCTGCTAGCAAACTTCCACATGAGAAGAAGAATGGTGGTTACGTCGGCGTCGGGTGTTTCCTCAAGTATTTCGAGGTAATAAAAGTACATTATGTTTCTTTCAAGAACATCTTGTCGTTTGCATTACTACGTCTATATACTTCTTTTGTAAATATTTGTATTGTGTTAATATGAATTATTTCTTCATATCACGTATTAATGGTTACTTTCTGTTCACACACTTGCTTTTAATGGAACTCTACACAATTGGATATATTATATATATATATATATATATATATATATATATCCAATATATCCAATTTTACAAACTACACGCTAATGAAATTTTCTTGAAACTTAAGAGGATATTGCTAAACCCTAGATCAAACTCTAAAAAT